ATATTTTTCTCTTGCTACTCCTGTTTCACATGTGCATATCCTTCTACTACTCACTGCAGCTGTGCCACCTAATGGCACAGATTTACACACCTACACCACAAAACATATGAGTGAGATGTTTGCACCCAACAATGAAGAGGCCTTAGAGCTGCGACTTACACTATTGTCAAGTTCAATTTCAAACATCTTCCAAAAGCTCTTGAGACACAGATACGTTTTCCCAGTTTAGGTCTTCTTAAGAGGCACTGGAAAGCTGAGCTGTATGAGGGAAAAACATTGCAACTGTCTTGCTAAAGGAGGAAAAACATAACAAACCACATTGCTGCTGAAAGCCCCTCCCTGTCAATAAAGCAATTTTACAGCAAAAACATTTAGTTTTATTTTGTTTTTCATTCATTGCCATAAAGTCCTAGTTGTCTTCAGGAAAAGAATGAATTTGACAGTTTCATGTTGACTCTTACATTTCCCATTACTGACTCCTTTCATCTCTGTCCTAGAGCAAAAATACATTTCCCTTTTTAAGCTTTTGATGATAAAAATCTCATCTGTAACCTCATAAATGATCCTTTATTATCTATATTAATAATGAATAAATGTCTGTTGAATACCCCTGATTCTTTGCATTAATAGTACCAGATGTATTATAGATAACCTTTTGATTTAACAGCACAAACTGTGAAACAATATTAAACCAGCAAAGGACTGATCTTACTGGAGTCACTAAGGTCAAAATTATAAACATTTCTTCCATTTCTATTTGTAAATTGTCCCATTATGCAGAATCAGTCTCCATCATTTATTTTTGAGAGAGGTACCACACTAGCTGCAGTCCTAGAAATAGAGCTCATAAATAATATCTTGAATAATTTTTTTAAACATTTCCGTCTCTTCTTTTTCTCCTTCCTCATGCCTCCTGATGATCTTAATTAATAGAGCATTACTACATGAGCAGATCCACTTCCGTTTACTGCATTATCATTTAAAAATATGTTGCTTGCCTTTTTTCCCATTAGCCCTGTCAGAATCAGGCACAAACTTCACTCAATCATTTTTCGAGATGACACTGAGCGAACTGTAGTTATCCCTGAACAAAGGGATGAAGCTTCCATTGTTTTACCACAACTGCATCCCATAAGTTTGACTGCTTTCCTCTTACATACCTGTTGTGATCATTCCTTTATGATTATTTTCAAGTGGGTTACTGCTTTATACTGAATGCCATAACATCTGAAAAGCCATTTGCCTGTAACTCTGGATAACGCTCTCCCTAAATATTCCCCTCTTCTCACTGTCCTGTGACTCCTGTTCCAACTTCCAATGCCTCTAACAGAAGTGAAGTGCCTTTTTCAATATTAACTAACAAAATACAGTGTGTCTTTTTTTCAGGGGAAGAAAAAAACTGTTTCCACTGAAGTTAAGTGGGAAATATCCTCGTTTTGTGCTTATTCTTAAGAGTAGCTTCTGAAATAGATTCCTTTATGCTGCTAAATCACAGCGATTCTTCACACCCACTTACCTGTAGCAATAAGTGTAGCTACACTGTTACCAGGTTAATTCAAAAAAGCCTGAGAAGCTCCTATTGCCTGTGCATCACTTTATGCCTGGGTGAGTGCCCTAGCAGCATCACCTGAAAAATGTTACTTAAAATACATGGTGGAAGAGGAGCTATTTAGCCTTAGTGCTGCCCAGCTTTTATTCCCAGCTCTGTGCTACCAAGTTTGCCCAAGAACCATCTTTAGGAATACTCTTGTACTTCGATAGCTGAGAAACAGTTTATCCCCACATACCTGTGGCTTTTTTAGAAGCATTAAAATAACATTCTCCAGTGATAAAATTGCTACAATTCAATAACTACTGGTTTAATGTCTAAGCATAATTAGTAGTGCACTGACCCTTTAGGTTCTGTTCAGGACCCTGCAGTGGCTGCAGTTACTGCCAATTTAATTATCAAGAAAGTATTTCTAGACTTGGACATGCAAAATGTAAAATTAGAAGTCAATATTAAAGTGAATTGCAGCAGTTCTCTTGGAATTTAAGAAAGAAAACTCAAAAGGTTTTGATACAGCAAAAGTGTACCAGGTATCAATTCTAAATTGTGATGATAAACAGCAGAGGAAAAAATAAACTTCACAATTCTTGACTTGTACCATTGGTCAAGTTCTGATGATCCACCACCAAAGCAGCTTTTAAGACTTTGATTTTCAATTACATATATTGTAATACACACTTTCTGTAAGGACTATTGGACTATTCTCTGATTCTGTCACTGCTGGAATTACCTTGCACAGCAAAGGTTCTCAAAGTGTTTTTATAGACATGTATGTAAGACAGTAGCATGCTTCAGGCAGTTTAGCAATCTGTAGGCTGAAAAAATCCTATTTCTGTCATCTTATAGCTGAATTTGGATTTGCATGTCAGTTCAAACCATGCTGAAAGCTGTGAGTGAAAACCTGATACCATTGAAGTCAACGGCAGTTTTGCTGTGGCCTCACACAAGCCAGCTGACAGCTTACCAGATTTGGCTATTCCAAAGAAAGTCAAAGGTAGCTTTTGACAAATAACCAACAAAAAAAAAACCAAACAAAAAAAACAAAAAAAACCCCAAAAAACAAAACACCAAAAAAAAACAAACAAAAAAACCCAACAAACAAAAAAACAAAAAAACCCCAATTTAAATAAAATTAAATTGCTGAGATAATAATAGCTAAAGTTGACATCAGAATTTATGGTGTTTATTATCGCTTCAAAGGCAAAAATAAGTACCTCTCTTCTGCCAGTGTTGCAACATTATCATATATCAACTAATTCCACTTGATTCATGAATTACATGCATAACGGTTATGGCCGTTAGGCAAGATCCGCTTTAAAAGCCTAATCCAACAAACACCTGCATACTTAATCACTTCAGTCACAAGCACAAGTGCTCCTTGTCTTGCAGACTCCTTTTCAATACTACCTGCATACATCTGTCAGGAAAGGCGTGTGAGACACGTTCGGCCAAGCTCCTGGCTAATCTGTTCTGGACAGTGGCACAGCAATATCCTGATTCTGCATATCATCCCCTGACACCAGCGGGTGAGTTCTCTTTTGGTTGTTTCTGAGAACATCCAAGAGCACCAGAATTAGATGGACATATTGACAAATGCCAAAATTAATCTGCCTGTGAAATCTTGGCTCAGTGGGTCCAAGAGAAGTTTTGTTGCTGGCTTGGAGTGGACTTGGAGGGCTTCACTCTCTAACTTCAGCTATTGGTTTTGGTTATACATAATGCATGCATCTCAGCAGTACCTATTTTAAACCTCCCTGTAATCTCAAACCAGAGAAACAGATTTTCCAGACTACACAGGTAATTAAAGAAGAGTTCAAAATATATGTAATTTACTTAGGCTAAACCCTGACAGGAGGATTTGTAACAAAATGCATATTTTTTCTACATTCTTTCTTAACTGCATAACAAAACACTGCAGACTTCATGGTTTGCTTTCTTGTTGAATGATAAATAGTGCCTCAAATTAAACATGACTTTTCTCTGTGAAACTAAACTACAGCTTCCTAAAGGCAGTAATGGCATTTCCTTTTTGTGTTGCTTTTCTCTCCATTTCCTCCTGATGAAAGCCACTGTCTGCATTGCCAGGTTTTAGCATTTCAGCTGGACTGATAGCATCAAAGATATTTCATGCCTTGAACCTTTCCTTTGTCTTGACCATTCTATATAAGAACTACTCCCACATCTGATTCTTTGACTTTCTCTGTGATTGTTTGCATCTCCAACTTTATTCTATTTCTCTAAATTAACATCAATTTCTATTTAATGGCACAGACATCTAGATGGTTAGCATACCTTCAAATCTTCTACCCTTTTCTGTTTGCTACATTTACACTGTCACAAATATTAGCAAATGCTGGTCTTAGTCTCTTGCTCCCTTTATGACTCTCCTCATGTTCATTAGCACCACCTCTTCAAGGAGTCTTGTTCAAATCATTTGGTGATATTCTCCAGATATTTCATGCTGTGAGCCACAGCAGAATTGTTACTGACAGTTGACAGAGTCCTCATCACACCCTGTGACTCTAGAGAAGAAAAGCCATAGTCTGAAACTTTATATCTATCTTTCTTGTTCACATACAACTCTGGATTCCGGTTTCAGTTAGAAGAAGAAATATGTGGTGAAAAATGTGTTTCTGTTTCCAGAATCTGGACTACCTGTGATACACTGAAGAGACAATATTTCCTGCAGAGATACAGCCAGAGTGTGAGACACTGGAATAAAATAATAAAAATGGAATAGCAGCTGTTGAGAGAGGCATAGTTCTAGCTCAGCTGCTCTTAATGTTGGACAAACTTTTTAATTCTCAGTAACCCAGTAATACCCAAAATAGTTTTGCAGAGGAGATACACAAGAGATATTGAGCATGAAACAGTGAATATAACCACTGAATATAAATTCACAGGCTTGCAGCTGATCTTTGAGAACAATAACTTTTGTCAGAGATCTAAGAAGTTAGGTGAAGAATTCCCTGACTTATTTTCCATCCCTGAATTTCTTCCCCATGTTGCAACTCTGCAAATAAAGCTACAGCAAACTGACCCTAATCCATCCTTCCTCTTCTATCCTACCCATAAGAACAGGACTCTCCTGGTATTTAACATATTTTGCTTCTTTGAACAGGTGAAGATTTCTGAACACAGAAAAATCAACCTTTAAAATCTATATATGTTAGTCATCAGAATTTAATAGGTTTTTATTATTGTAAAACATTCTTTGAGGTTATATCTAAATGAAATTGACCCAGCCTATCCTCAGTGGCACTGTATATTAGAATAAAATTCCATAATTGGCAATAAAAAAATCAGAAAAGCAGGATTTCACTATTTCTGGTGTTTAATGCTGTCACACAAAGAGTAATAGACAATTATTTTATCAGAGTAAGTAGAAGCAAGATGACATTCTCTTTCAATTCTGGGACAATTTAAGACAGCATGCCATTAGTGGTGACTAATCTCCCTTTCTGGTTCTTCTGTCAGCCTGGAATATTATTTTAACCGTCTTCAAAGAGGTCATCAGGACAGAAGTAGTCAGGAGGAAAATGTGTGGTAGGGGGCAGAAGCAGTGAAATATGCAAGTGCAATAATTGTTCTTCGATGAAGAAAAAGGTAGAAGAAAAAATATCCAGCTTCATCAGTAATGCAGGCCGTGCCATCCCCAGATGTTACAGAAGCACTAGAATTGCTCCCTGCAAGAAAAATTGGATTAGTCACAATCTTGTCGACTAATGGGCACACTCTGTGATCTTTAGAGCTTCATTTACTGGGTTAATAGTGCTTTGCCTGAGTTCCTTTGCAATAGGGAAAAAAAAAAAAAAAAACAAAAAACCTGTAAAAAGAAATATTCTGGGTGCAGTCCACAGCCACTGACACGAGTAATATCATATTCATCACAGACAGACCTCGTATCTCATTACTACTGAAGAGTTTGCCCCCAAGGCATTTGAGCTCAGTCAGGCCAGGCCCCTCATGTGGAACCGTTCAGGTATATTGTGAAATGATTTAATGCGATAATAATGTCCACTTTGTGAGATAGATTATGTTTTTTATAGTGCCTGATGGTTAATGAATGATACATTAGCAAACATCACTAAAACATTATTGAGAAAATGCAGATATGAGATAGTAACTCCCTCATTCCCTACCCCCACTCTCTCCCAGATGCATAAAAATGGAAAGCAGAACTTACAGAAAACAGAAAACTTGACATTATTGTGATGCTACCAGCTTGCATAGTCTCTCTCTTGTTTGCTTGTTCTCTAGAGAAGGGGCAAAAGAGATATTTTAAAATGTTGTAAACACAAACTGAAATATCTCTTCTTAAATCAAATGAGAATCAATGAAAGTGCAAACCCGAAAAATACATTATATGTTGACCCAGTTTATTAGATGAAACCGTTTACCCTGATTTGATTTATCTGGCAATACACTGCTCAGCTGTGAAATGAGATAAGAAGAGCCTATTCACCTTATTTACAATATTATAGTGACTCCCTAGCACCACTATGGTTAAGGATCTGTCAGCAATTCCATTGCAATCACTATTTTTTTAGGGTTTGTAACATGGCTGTAGACTCATGCTTAGCTTGAACACGGCAATGCAAACCCGATAGATTCAATTAAAATCGCGTCTTGAGTTCATGGATTTCGGATTTATGAAGCACAATATTAAAAATGTGAATAACTCTAGGTAATTTTCTACATTTTTAGTTATTATTCCTGTGCCTTGAGAAATACCAAGAGGGTCATATGCCCTTACAGAGCAACTTTACTGATGTCAACAAAGTGATAATGATTTACACCATTTGAAAAACTGCCCTTTCTGTCAGGGTTATACTTGGCAAAGGTGAATTACACCAAGTAGTCCTTTTTCTCTTTTTGTATTACTTTGATTTTCTGTGTTCTTTGACTTACATATATTCCTTAAACCTCTTTGTCTCCTCAACAAGGGAGGAATTTTCCCCACACACTTTCAGTGAGAATTAAACTACTTCTGAACCCACAGTCTAGAACTGCTGTGTTTTTCTGTAAACCTTCTAGAATGGTTGCTGACGTTGAGTTTTCTCAGTAAAAATAAATATATTTTCTGTTCCAAGATCTTTTTTCTCTTTTGTTCTGTTTTAAAACTGAAGCCTCCAAAGATGTGCTGTTCTGGTTTTCTTCATTTTAATTTGTGAATGTCTTAAAAAAAATTGAGAAGAAAAAGAAGTAGGGAAGGCTATGTAAGGCTATGTCTCTTGAGGTCAAACAGTACCTGATGAACACAATTATACAGACACAAAATGCATTTTATCCCTTTCATAGACAGTGTAGATGAACACTTACCAGCCAATTAGACAAAGCAAAGGCCTTTGCTGCTCTGGGCTTCATTTGATCTGCACCTGTGTGACTGTAGAGGCTGGATCACACCAGTTAGGACACTGCCTCCTTATTTCGTAAAACAAAGCAAAGCACATATTAAAAAATCAGTATACGTCTTTAACAACGATCCTTTTACCTCGGGCTTTGGAGAGAAATTTGAGAGGGAAAAACAACATAAAAAACAAACAAAAACAAACCCCAAAACAGAAATTTGAATAAACTAAGACTGTAATAAAGGGACATTTAGTCCATTAATTTCCTCAAAGCCTCACTCTCAAATTTTTCTCAGGCTCACAAGGAAATGTATAACAGGCCTGTGTGGCTGTGATGGTGGGAGCTGTGAGAAGGTGCTGGAAAGAAGCTCCCCTCATCAGAGATCTGCAGCCTGCCCCCATAGGTCCCCATACCTATTTATGAGGAGCAGAGCACAGCAGTGGCTGTGAGGAAGAGCCCTGTCCCACCACCTAAGCCCAGATCCTGCTGCTGCCATGAATCTTGTCAGTACCAGCAGTGGAGGCCTGCAGGGGAACCAGCAGCAGCATGAGGTGGTTCTCAGAGGAGTAAGGACAGGGTGAGAAGTCAAAGTATCTGGGGGCTTGGGGCTTAAACTCGCCTTGATAAATTGTTTCTTAGCAAGAAAAGGTAAAAAAATAAAAAAAAATGACAGGAGGGTTGTGCAGTGCTGTGGTTCTCTGCTTCTGGCACTGGTGCAGGCAGGATTCGATCTCCATCACAGCCCCCTTAGAGCTTCGGTGGCACCGCCTGGTCGGCCCCGCCAGGCCGTGCAGGGTAATGCCATGGCTACTGTGGCTGCCCTGGGGAAACAAATCTGCGAGGGGGAATATCCCGGGGGCAGACACATCTCCCTGAGACACACTCCTGCTCCCGCAGGTGCCCGAGGGAGAGGCGGCTCCCAGGGACCTGTGAGGAATGTAGCAGCCCCCTTAGGTGGGTGCTCAACGTGGGGGTGTATGGATGCTAAATCTAAACCACAGTGCCTGTACAAATTACAGGCCGCCTGGCTCCTCGGGCTGCCTGAGAAAGTAACCTGGGAAAAATATGAGAAGGAATTAAAACAATTCTCAGAGATACTAAACAGCCTAGCAGGTGTTGTTTTGCAGTCTTGTTTTCTCTTGCAGGAGAAGGCCAGGGGGGGCTGATGGACCCCCCCCGACCAATGATGGTGATGTAGCACTTTGTTAACCAATAAGAGTTTCTTTTCTGTACCTTCCACGTACCAGTCTATAAAACAGGCCTGAAGTAATAAACCAGAGAATTCTCGTGTTGTGACTCCCTTGAGAGTCCCGTGTCGTTCTTTCTAGCCGTTCCCAATCGGAGCAACAGGGGTGTCTCTCAGAGTCACAGGCCCGGGGTCAGCGGGACACACAACTACTGAGCCTTTTCTCCCCTCCAAGGAGTATCTGGATTTAGACTCCCAAGATGAGATAGTTTAAGGGCAGAGGGCAGTTTCTTTTTTTAAGTAGGTTCTGGCAGGCAAAAGCTCAGGATCTGCCAGGACATGGCCTGTGCTGAGATACACCTTGGCATTCTCAGTGGGACCTGCCTTGGTTGCCTTGGTGGGAACTGTGGCAGGAGCAGCCCCGGCTCTGGTCATGATCTGCAATCAGCCGTCAAGTTCTGGTTTTCTTGTGTTGGTAAGGTTTTTACTTTGCTTGCTTGCCTAATCGACAGTTTAGTAGTATTTTTCTTTATGTTGTCTACATTTGTAATGTTCTTAAATTTGGTGTGTGGATTATCTGTGCTACTTGAATGCATCCCTTCTGCTATGTAGGCTCCAGCACACGTGCACTGAAAAAATTGCAGGATGTTCTGATTCTATGCTTAGGCAGAAAATACTGTTTTCTACTTGTACATAGCATCTCATTAATCATCACTGCAGTCATGATGTCTTACTTGTGATGAGTTGGTTGCCTCAGTCCTTTATAAAATAACATGTACAGTGCTTTTATATGTTCTATCCTTTTTTCACACTGTCTGCTATGGTCAGAATCAGAGGAAAACACAATGCTTGTATAGAAAATGCTCCGGTTGTATCAGTAAAACCAATGTCATACTCAGTCTTTGTGAATTGCAAATTAAACCTCCAAAGCATGTAGAAATTTGAGGCAAATGTAACCCTTCTATGTTACCTTATTTTTGATGGATATAGACTGATTAACAAGTTAAGGAAAACAAAATTACTTGCCCTTCTTGCATTTTATCAGAGGGATGGAATTCACATAAAACAGGGGTTTTAGGATTATGTGTTTGTACATTGGAAAAGATACCATATTAAAACTCATAAATGTGTGGGCCTTTCTACCATGGCAGGCAGCTCAAATTCTTCAAAGGAAGGCAATAATGAGTTGGAAAATAATCAGAATATCTAGAAATTAGAATATATCTGATATTAATCTTTTGAAATTATAGATAGCCAGAAAATATGGGAAAGTCATTATTTATTCTCCCACTGTATGGCATTACTAGAAGGATTAATTTTTATTTTTTTCATTGCCAGAGACATCATGGGGTGAACTTTGAAATGAGACAAGAATCTTTGTTAGTGACTGGATATAGCAGGCAGATAGTAGAGGCCAGAAACTCATGAAGAGAAACTATCTTTAACTGTCAATTTTGTAAAGATGGCATTGTTCCTTGTCAAATACTGGCACTGAGTTTTGTCAACTCGCTCACTGACACTGCATACCACTAATCATTTGAATAGAGCATTACCTTACTTTTAGGTAGAGCTGCAAATTTTTCTTAGTTAAATAGGAAACTATTTTTAAAGTCTTATAATAATATTTGCCTTATTCTTCAAGTGAAGCTGTATGATAAATGAATTGTATGCCTACATATTGAATCTAAAAGCTTTCATAAATATCCCAGAGTATTTCTGGCATTTGTTTTTGTGTGACCGTTATTCTGGCAAATACTTTTTGTGGACCATGACTATTCTTTTTCTTTATTTCCCCAAAGATATTGGTATGTATGTGCAGAGAAGTGGAGACCAACCGGGGCCACCAATAGAAATAGTTACATGTTTAAAACCAGTCTAAGAACTTAAAGAACTTATCTCAAGAAGTTGGATATGCTGTGGAAATTTCAGTACTATGTCTGCTTGCTGTAATGCCTAGAAGTCCTACTCATGGATTAATACCATACTGTATTAGAGACTAAACACACATGGGACAGAAAAGCCTCTGTGTAAAATTAATATAAAGCAAGAAGTAAAACTGGGAAACAGGCTGGTTAGGGGACACAAGAAAATATTGGATAGCATAGTAGATTTCATCTGAAGAATACTTCTTTTTATTCATAGCATGGGCATGAGAATGGCATTCTGATATCTAGGAATTCAGAATCAGTTATGAGGAAGTAGCAAAATAAGTTTGCACATTTCACAGCCAGGAGGAAGCTTCAGGATAAATTTGCAACTAGACACACACAATGTTTGCATTGTACAGAGGTTGTGTGAAGTGATTTAGTTTGCCCAGTTTTCAAATTTTAGTATTACATAATTAATACTTAGAAATCCTCTGCCTTTTTAGAATAAACAAGGAGAAATGTTTTATTCTCCAGTTTCTAGTAATAATCTGAGCAGGTCAGTGAAACATTATCCCTGCAATAAACTGATAAAAGTTCAGATTCTTTTCCTGTCTTTTGTTTGTTTGTTCACCCATTTCAGTTGTCTTCAGGTGTTTGGTGCTATCCTGTGTTTTTCAAGATGACAGGAAGGGGAGGATGCTTCTAAATAATATGTTGCCCTGACTTCATAAGGCTTGTTTTGTCTGGCAAATGAATTATGTAAACCTTCTCCACCCGAAACTGTTTCAAGTCAATTAATTGTTGTAATTACTTAAGATTTCTTTTTAATGAATATGACTCTCAGGGGATTTGATGATATCCTGTCATCTGTAGGCCTGATAAATGAAATGTGATTTGTGGCTTGCTGCAAACTGAACCCTTGTACTTGAACAATGCCTCTCTTTCCTATGTGCTCATTAAATGGAAGAAATGCCCTTGATGGAATTAGGAACATTTGCTCTAGTTGGACCCTAGTAAGAATGGATAGTATAGGCAGATAATTTTTGGCAATTTACCCCTTTTGTTCTCTCTTCCTTTAAATGCAGGTCTTGTTAACACGTAGACAATTACTCAGACCAAACACATGACCCCAGCGAGGTCACCCATTGTAACTGAGAGTAGTTTAGCTGTTTCATCTCTCATCTCCATCATATGCACTGAAATGGGAAAGATTAGCAGTCAGTCAGTGCTGAAGAAGACTAGTACAGTATGGTGGTTTTTTAACCCATCTTTTGTAAAGCCTTCTTCACACCCACCAACATTTTGCAATCAGAACAGGCAAATTTGGCTAGCAAAACTTCCCTTAGTTTTTGTGCAACACTCGTTTCCAATGTGTGCTGCCTAGTTTCCAGTGCCTCTTGAGAAAATCAGAGCTGCCCACTGCTGCAGATAAAGACAAGCAATCTGAAGCAGCATGACAAGGAACCATGAAGTCTGCATTGGGTTCCTACAAACAGTGAGATTGCTTTTATATCTCTTTCAGCTAACCTATTCTCCCCTACACTGCCATTAACATAATCTAATCACCAATGCTAGGGAAGTACAAAGCAGGTGGGATTTCCTGATTGAATGTGCATTGGTGAAATGGGGATTACTTCTTTTATTGCAAGACCTTTCCTGGATATCATGTAAGTATATTAAACATCATAAAAGTTATACCAAAATATAGCATCTTGGTCATAGTTTGGAATGTAAGGACAATGAATTATTATGTATTACAAGCAAAGATCACTTTGACATTTTTTGCAATCAGGAGAGGGTGCCTCAGACATGTGTAGCTGTCTAGATGTGGCAGTCATGGGTAGTGTAAGTGCACAAAAGAGAAAGCATCCCTGATAATAGGAGAAAATTAACAACCAGAAGAACCTGTTTGGAATAAATTCCATATATTATTTATTTAGGAAAAAAAAGTGGACATGAAGGATAGGAAGGTAAAAATGTGAGGAAAAAGTGACAAAGAAGCACCAGACCAGTGCCTGGGACAAAAATGCCATGGAAGAGAAGATGGAATATTCACAGGAAGGGATTACGCACTTTGTGGTTCAAAATCCTGGAATTACTGTACTGGTTTAAACATAATGACATCAGATTCTGACTCTTTCATAAACTCTTAACCCTACTTCTTTGTGCAGGCATAACAGAGACTGTTCCACTCTTCCCCTTCCCCCCCATCCTTCCCTTTTTCTCTCTGGGTTTTCAGGAGCTATAGGCAATGATACAGGTGTACAGCAAAGTGCAAGGAACAGGTTTTCCTGGCTTGATGGGCCCAGCTGAAAGAGCAGTATCTGGAAGTATTATGAAACTGATTGTCTTTGGCACAGTAATTGGATGGAAGACATTCAGATCACCTTTGATTAGATGAACTTTTGAAACTACTGAGATTTATCAGTGAACAGATCTTATTCTCAGAGGACTCAAGAGAAAGTGTCCCATTAACTTAATGAATCAGGCCACCAGAGAACAACTGCTCTTGAAGTCAGAATGAGAGATTTCCCATCAGTGGCACAAATTCTGCCAATAAAGGTAACAGGATTTCTCAAGTGAAATGAGATTAGAATATGTCTCCCCTGATTTTCAGTAGTTAAATGATTGACTATCCTGTAATAGGCTAATTATTAGATTTCCCTTCAATTTTTGTGTTGCAGGAAGGAATGAAAGCTTTCTTTCCCTACCTAGATTGTGTGGCATCTGTGGCAGTGTTTCATCAATGCTGTTGCAAAGTCTTGACCTTTGAAAGGTGGCAAGGTGCATTCATCTTTTCCAACCTCATCTGCCTTCAGCAAGGTGTCACCAGCTCTGGAACTTCTGGCAATTTGACAAAGACATCTTCCCACATGTCAGTTCTTGTTATCCACTCTGTCTTCTTCACATATGACACACATGTCAGCTCTCATTTTTCCACTGCTTATTTTGTTTGTCCCTTCACAGGTGGGAGATTCCACATTCTCTTTTTTGAACCATTTCCAGGATGGTTCTTATTTCCCTGCAATACCTTTCTGGCCTTACTTGACAACTTAAAATATCCTTTTTGTCACCGATAGTTTGTGATTCTTCATGAAGTAAAACAGCTTTTTAGAGTCTCTCTTAGTTAGCTGTAGTATTTCCATGCCTTTTTTATGAATTATATTCTTCCAGCTCCCATAAATAAGTCATTGCTAAATGTTTTTGATATAATGTGTATGGAAGTTTTTCACCTCAGAGTGCTTGTTTAGCAACAGCAGTGAATACTTTTATAGCCTCTTTATTCCCTTAAAAAACATCAAGAATTGCTTGTTTCATCATTATAGAATGGGGTTATTGTAAAATACTAACATCCTAATTTTACATATGGCAAAACTAATTCTGACCTGTCATACTCTCCTACTTAGACTGCAGGACTCCAAGTAGTGTTATTTGTGATGGGGCATGGACAAAAATGCTGTTCAAATTACTGATCACCACCTCTCCTCTCATCTGGAAGTGATACAGCAGGAAACAGAAATTATGGAAACATATTCTTGCCAGTCTGTCATTCATAAATGCAGGGAGCATCTGGCTGTGCCTCTCATAGCTGCTCAGCTGTCTTTGA